CTCCAAATGCCTCTAGTACAGTCTAAGGCAATGTGGGCCCCTAATTTCAGTGCTGTGCTAGACAGCTGTTATAAATAGCAACACACTCTTTAGTTCTCAGCATGAAAATTGTCAGTGTCTGGTCCAGTAACTTCGGTGTTGAATGGAATATTGAACTAAAAAAATACATCAGTTGCAGCCTTCACTGTGCAATGGAAAACCAGTAAATTTAGATTCCCTGTTTTCATAAATCTCACTTGATTAAAATTTGATTTTCCTAAAGGCATGGGATACCACCCCAAAACCATGAGTTGGCATTTACAAAGCTTTTATACTTGAATTTTCTAGGGTAGTTTGTTGGGGTTTTTTACTCCTCAAAAGTAGAATGTTATTTGGAATTGCTGATTATTTCTTCAACTTTTGGCCTTGTTGCTGTGTGCTCTGTTGCAGCATAGTAAAAACTATGGGCACAGCTGGAAAAGTTTAGGGAGCTGCTCACAGGGTTAATTACAGTCACTTTAAGAATATGAAAATAGATTATATCTCTTTTTCAATAGTCTTGGAAGCTTTTGACAACTCATATCATCAGATAGCTTCCCACCATCATTTCCAGTTTATTTTTGGTTTTTCCATTAGTTGCAGTAGCTGTGACTTGAACATTTACTTGCCAGTAGAAACAAAACTTTCCTACACAACACTTTAATTTACAAAGTCTTTGGCTTTGTGGTTTTCACAGCAATTTAGAGAAACCTGTTCTTTAATAACAGAAATAAGTTTGTGATCTCCTCTTCAGTGGAGCACACTTCTCTAATGAAAATACAGCTGTGTGTGCTCCATGACTTTGTCTTACACAAGTTTGCTAACCTGATGTTACAGTATAAATAATGCATGTCCCCAGGTATCTGGCATGTATGAGTGCTCCCTGTTTAACTGGGTCCACACTAGTGTGCACAGAAATGTTTTACTACCAGAGTAGCTCTTCTTTCTGTGTCCCATTCAATGAATTTAAAAATTGCAGAATATCTAACTAGAAGCAAAATACCCACCTTACCTCACAACAGCAATGCAAGCTCATGTATTAACACTCTGTAACTGTAGTTGTGTGGCACAGCATATTCCACAGTTGAATCACAAGTCATATGAATTAAATTCTCCAAGTTTGGAGGTGTTTTTTTGGTTTTTTTTTTTATTTTCTTTTTTTTCAGTCCCAGTGAAACAACTGCTGTGGTTTCACAACTTTCTATTTGAATTCTTATGCCAGATGCAGACTTCCCTTGCTTCTGATACACTGTAAAATAAAGGAATTGACTTACTTCCCAAAGTCTCTTCCAGTGTTTACCTCGACCCAGCTAGAAACTCAAAATGTATCTTTAACATGGTATCCCCATAACAGATACTATGTCTCTGCATAGTAGGAGGTTTGCTCTCACTATTTTACAGCTAATGACCAGCATGGTATTATCAGGGTATATGGACTTGTGAGTCTGCCTAAGCACCCCAATCATAATCTTGCCCATGTGTAGCTCTTCAGTTAAAGCCAGATGGTCTCTAATCACATCATGAAATGCATCCATTTTGGAATATTGCCTTCCTGGTTTTAGAAGGCTGCAACAGGAGACAGGAGAAACTGTACAGGCAAAAAGAGGCAGAGGAACTACTATTTTTATCATCATTATCATCATCATCATCTGCTAGAAAAGGCAAGCAGAAAAGAGAGATGGATACTATTTCCATCTGTAAGTGATGTAACAGGGATGCACCATCATCAACAACCTCTAGCCCTGCTCTGGGACATGGCAGTGAAGCAGTGCTGGTGACAACAGCAGAAGTTTGTAGCTTTAGTTGTGTCATGCGATGAGGAGCTGAGCTACGTGTCTCCTGTGTTGTCAAAGCATCTAACACAGTCCAGATTGCAACAACACCGAAATTACGTTACTCCATTATTTTGCCTTTTCTTTGCTAACAGTTGCCATTTTGCAAACCTGAGGTAAACTTCTATGTTTAATCACCGAATGCTTTCTAGCAGCACAGCTGAGCCTGAATTTACTGCCTCCTGTTTAGCTATTCAGATCATAGTGCTCTATGGCTGAACCAGCCACCTCTGGTTGCTATACTGCCCATGGAGAGAAATAAACATTTTCAGGATGAGTCATATGTGTGTTTTAAATACATGTTGTAGGGTAAGAAAAACTGCACCCTAGGAAAGCCTGTCCGATCAGAGGAGAGCTGCTCTTGCTGTCCTTAAGAACGGTGCACAGGGTATCTCCTCAACAGCAGTACAGGGAACCAGGATGCTTTTTATTTTTCTGAGAAGGATTTTGTGCCAGGTTTAAGCATACTCAAAAATATGCAAGGGCCCGATTACAATCCAGCAGTACACATCCATCATGTGCATGTGCAGAAGTTTCGTTGGCAAGTGTTTAAAAAACTTCAGAGGCAAACATGGGTGTGGGCAAGGAGCAGAGCCTCAGAAATTCTCTTTGAACTTTTCACATCATTGTTGCTTCATCAAGGATATGTGTAGTACAGAAACACAAAATGTTAACCATTACTGTGGCCCTTCTTGCTCTGATGGTGTCACTCGCTGTCCATTATACCTTGTGTTCATTTTCTGTAACACAGCTAGAAAAAGCACAGTCACACTTGCAATCAAGAAGTAAATAAAATAGCAAATATCCACATTAATAAGAACACTGAGTTAACATCATTGGACCAAATTCTGGAAATGAACCAGTTGTTCAGTACTTGTTCTGAATGCCAAATTTCCCAAATAGCTCATCTGAGCTTTCTTTGTACAGCAGCACATCAGCCATGAACTCATCCAGTGGAAGATAAAGGCACTGGATGAGCGTGGATGTAGCAACTGTGTCATCCTGTGATACTCTGATTTTTAATAGTAGAGGAGATGTTTCATACCAGACCACAGCAGGAACATTTATTCTTAATGACCAGAAGGGAGATCTGTAACAGTTACAGGTACTCCTCCTTCATGGAGGCCCTGGCCAGGGCACATTTAAACACAGCAGCCACTTGGAAGACCATGAGCCAGGAAGGGATGAATGAATGAGCATGGAGGAATCTGTCAGGTGTCAGTGGGATGATGGGCTGGAGCTCCTCTCCTCTGAGGAAAGGCTAAGACAGCTGGGACTGTTCAGCCTGGAGAAAAGAAGGCTCAGGGGGATCACATCAATGTGCATGGATGCCTGAAGGGAGGGAAAGGAGAAGCAGGAGCCAGGCTTGTCTCAGCAGAGCTTGCTGATAGGAGAGGAGGCAATGAGCACAAATGAGAAACCCCAAACACCATCTGAACATCACTTCTACCGTGAGATTGGTCAAACCGCTGTTTGACACAGGCTACTTAGAGAGGCCAAACATACTTTCCATTCTTGAAGATACTCAACACATGAAGGGACACAGTCCTGGGTTCTAGGTGGCTTTGCTTCAGCAAGGGGTTGGATTCACAGTCTCTTCCTACCTCAATAACGTTGTAATTCTGTAATAAAGCTTTGAATAGATGAATTAAAGTACCACTATACATGCTGACCATTTTGCTGGTCTCCTTGCTTATTTTGCATTTTTAAAATGTGGTCATTTGCAGTATTTGAAGCTCTACTCCATGAGATACTTTCTCTCTGCAAGTTAACTCCAGATCAACAATTCCATTGCAGCAACACGTATCACAGAATCACAGAATACCACACTGGAAGGGACCTTGAGCATCATCTGGTCCAACCTTACGTGGCAAAAACATGGTCTAAACAAGATGGCCCAGTACCCAGTCCACCTCAATCTCAATGTTGGGGCATCCACCACTTCCCTGGGGAGCCTATTCCCTTGGCTGCTTGTTCTCATGGTAAAAAAATTTCCTCTTGTGTCTAATCATAATAAATATCAAGTATCTTTGAAACGTTATACTCTGTGCTCCCAACCCACCTGCAGCCATTCCACAGCACTGTGCTGCATCACCAGGCAGGTATTTGAGGCCCTTGAAAAAAAAAGGCAACTGAGTCAGTAAGAAGATTGAATTTGTCCAGTCCTTACCTATTAGAAGTGGCTAAACATCCAGCAGCCCTTCTGGCTTGAACAACCCTCTTGGTTTGTGTTATTTGGGGAATTCAACACACGGTCTAGTGACAATAGTTCTGTGTTTGAAAAGCATCAGGTGAGTTGAAAATGCATTCTATACATATTATTTATTTCTCAAATGTACATACCTTTCCTGTGTTATGAAATGAAAGGTCTTGCCCAAAATACACAGGTTAGTGACAGACTCACAGCCATAACCCAGATGTCTCTACTTTGTATGTTTAACACTAAGATCATTTGTCTAGAGTTTAGGCCTACTTGTGTTAAAGCTTCAGATCTATTTTTTTTAACTTTGTATTTATTCATGGCTTCAAAATGCTCATCTTTTAATATGGAAATCCCCTTTTCTCCAAAACACATATCAATTTCATGGGTTCAAAATCACTGCTGCGATGTCCTCGGTAACTCACAGATTGTATTACTTTGATGATTTTTTTACAAGGCAGATCCAGTATGCACTAAGCATTTTAGAAATACTTCTGTGGACAGGAACTGAAAGAAGTTCATAAGTTATATGAGGTGGTGGGTTCAGATCTGTATTTGCTGACAGCAGTGTACCAAACTTTCTGAGAAGGAATTTAACTTTCCAGAAATTCAATACAGAAATAGCTAGGTACAGTGTGGGAAGCATTTATTTTGATAGACTCAGGGGGACATCATGTTCCTGTGGTTTTAAAACAACCCTTCAAACCTAAGATTAAAAATCTAAATGCTGTGGCCAGGGTTGTGTTCCCCACAGAAATCCCGCAGGTGGCACCACAGCACAAGGGGAATTACATTTCAGCTGCTTATGATTTAGAAGGAATGCAGCCCATCTTGGGATTTTTATTTTTCGGTTCTTTCTGTTTAAAGATAGCATTTTCTACAGCTTCAACTCTACTTTTTGTGTCACTTCATTCTCAGTATTAAATCCGCACAGGTCTGATAAGTCTCTCTGGCTTTATGTAAATTTATTTCTTCCTGCAGATACCCATCAAAAAGTACTCAGGGCTGCCCCAAGAATGTAATTCTCCAGCACCTAAACTGGCATGTTGCTTTTGAATGCTTTTTGAGAAGGATATCTGACATCAAGGACAGGTATGGATGTATTAAAACTGTTGGGATGGAAACAAGTCAAATCCATAACGGTAATTTTTGTCACCAGTAATCTAAAAAGTTCATTTAACTGGGTACTTCAAGAGGCAAATCAGACATAGGCACATAACACACACATACTCTCAAGGTTTCAGCCTTTGAGAGCAAAGAAGTGAGTATTTTCTAAGATTTTTTAAGACAACCCTGGTTGTTCAAAGAACTTGTGTACAGACATGAAATCATCCTGATCAGCAGTAAATTCAGCATTACTGCCTCAGTTCAGAAGAGGGGAAAAAAGCAAATGAAGAAACCAAGTTGTAGCTGGAGATGCCACTGGAGAAGACCAGACAGGACAAGAGCACCTTAAACCTTCCACAGTGTTTGGCAGTGCCATGAGCCGCTGGACAGTGTGACTGTTCCTCAGAAAGGGCAGGATTACTGCCACTAACATCTCAACAATAACCAGCAGATGTCAGCACCATTTTTTCTCCTCTATCAGGGGCCTCCACAAGGGGAGGACTGGGAAGACGTTGGCTGAGGAGCCAAGGTGCAGGGACCGCATCCAGCCCCAGTTCACCACAGGACCATCCTGCCCCTTGCTGATCGCCATCAGGGCACGGTGCCCCTCGCCCCAGTTACAGCAATGTTATTTGTTTGAAGTGCAACCACCTTGGCACAACGTGTATAATCTCCAGTTGAAAACAAAAAGGATGTAAATTGAGGCAGGGATGTCTCAAGGCTGCACCTTGACTGGATGCCTAACCCCAACACCCTGCTTCTCCCTTGCAGCCCTCTGTGTGGATTCTGGGACTCCCAGCACTGGCTGCAGCACGAGCAGACTGTGCTTGCTCCAAACCCCCCCAGCTACGTGCACAGAGTCTCAGATTAAAACTGACTTTGTATTGCTCCCACCATTCTCCAGGCACGTTCCTCCAGGGAAGGTATCTCCTCAGAGATACCCTAACTTCTGGAGGCCTCAGACTGCACACCTCCAGCATTACAGAATGCAGCTCAGGCTGCCCAAGGACATGGGGTAGGTGAGGGAAAGCTGATTTATCATACAAGCAGAATAAAAAAAATAGTACATTTTTATTTAGTGGTATGGAAGGAAGGAAAAAATAGAAAAGGAAGAAAACACCCTTGCAAGGTTTACCACCTTGCTCAGGACTTGTCACCAACACAGTATTTGCATGACAATTTACCCCTCCTATTTCGGCTGGGTCTGCTTATAGGATTGTGTGAGTTCTTCTGTCTAAAACTGTCTGTGTAAATTTTTGCCCTCTTAATTCCTTTAAAAATCCACCTCCTTTCATCCACGGAGAAGGAACATGGCTGACCCCATCAGCTAAACATCTTCTAACAGTAAAGTCACTGTAATCAGAAGTTTTTGCGGCTGCAGATTTCCTGAAGAGAAGTCTGTATTTCTCAGCGTGATGCAAATACTCCAGCAAAACCACAACTAGATCTAACAATGTTCAAACACAAAGTAGTACAAAGCAGAAGTTATGCAAGTAACACAGATCTGGCAGAGAGTTACCACTTCTCTTCCACCTAATCCAAAAACCAGACAGAAAGGGGTAATTAAGTGCAGAACCCATGCAAAGACTTTCAGGTATTTCTATGAGCAGCTGATCTCATTGCCTTAAAGGGACAGGTGGTTTAGGGCAACAGAACCAGTAGGAAGCATCTGCTCTGAGAAAACGTCTTTTTTTTGGTTTGATTTTTTTTAATACATCTTTTTGCTAAACTCTGTTCCCCCAGGAACCTTGAACTATTAAGAGGATTTTATTGCTGCTGCTGCTGCTGCTGTTGTTCTGGGTCACCCCCTCCCCCCCAGATTAAAGCATTCAGAACTGTATGTGCAATTTTTAAAATACTTTTATTATATTATCTTAAAAATATTATATTTTATAAATATTTCACATTTTATTTCTTAGAAGAATATTTTTAATTAGAAGCCTCTGCTCCAAGCTTTCTAATATAGCCAGTAAAGAACACAAATGATGTAAGAAGAATCCAGTGGCAAAAGTCTCACTTGTGGAAGGACCTTTGCTCTGCCCAAGACTACACGGGCCCCTGGCAGCCCCAATCCCTTTGGTGCAGCAGCACCAGCCAGCCTGGTGTCGTGCTCAGAGGGGCTCTGGAGAGGCTCCCCCATGGCACTGCCCGTTCCCACAGCCCCCCAGCATCCAGAGACCCCAGATCCTATTCATATTCCTCACTTCTGCAGGGACCTGCTCAGACCTGCTACCAGTCAAGGTTTGGCTTAAGTAATGCCCTTGAGGAGACAGAGCTCTGAAAACCTTGTAATTCACTCCTTGGTCTCTAGAATAGTGTATGATGTCAGTCCTGTGGCAGATGGATGACACTGTGTCTATCTGATATGCAAATTATCTCATAAATTGTTAGGGACACTTGTCCTTCATGACCTGGAAATGATTTCACAACACAGGAAACAATGTCCTTACATGCCAAAGACAGTATCTCACAGAGGCTCCAACAGCATCCTTTCTGCATCACCTTTTCTAAGAGGTGATCTGCTGGCAAACCACGTGTGTGACAGCACAGCCAATAAACCCAGACCACAGGAGACTGTCCTCCACATCTCAGTGAAGGCTGGAAACCGCCAGGGTAACTTCTCACCCCTTTGACTGTTTTTCTGCAAAAACAACTAAAAATCTACAGTGCTTCTTTGTAATCTCTCTTCTGCTACATTCATTAATAGCACTTCACTGTGCTTGAGTTGGTGTCTTGGCATTTTTCCACCTATCCACAAGTGTGCATTCTTCTTCAGCTACTCGTACAGCAGCAGCCAGTTAGATGTCAGCCAGGTGAGAACCAGTGAGCAGCAGAGACAACAGCAGTGCCACCAGGAAGACTGCCCCCACCACCCCAAAAAACCCTGCCCTTTCATTCTCATGGATCTCTGCATGACACCATCATGCTGAATGCAGCTGCCTTACCTAATGTCACAGAGAGGTTCCTCAGCCTCACCCATGCAGCACGTGGTCAGCAACACTGCTTTACACACTTCTGGCTTTGTCCATAACTTAGCAACAGATTATAAACCAAACTGACACTGACTCTGACAATATAATTAAGCAGATCTTTCTCCAGACGTGTCCATGCCTGGTGGTTTTCCATCACACATGCGCACTGCCAGCTGTCCCATACCTGGCTTGCTTTATGCAGCTTGATGCATAAAACAACTACTGGCCTCAGTCTCCAAGGATGGCAAGAACTGCCAGCACTCCTGTTTAACGGACAAGCAGCCAAAATAAAATAAGAACAATACCCACAAAGATACTTGAGGTCTCTTCCCCTTATTACAAGCTACTTTTCAACACACTGCTAGGTAAAACACTGTGTTAATAAACCGTAGTTTATGTGGAATTTGAGGATGGGCACGTAGCCCACTTGAGTGTTCCTGATCCTTCTCACAAACACAGGGCAGCACTGAAGGCGCACACACACCAATAGACGCCTCCTCTTCCTCAGTATGCTAAACTGGACAAACGCAAAGCAAGAACTACATAATACATGTTTTGGTATCTGCTACCTAAGCAAAGAAGAGAAATGGACATCTGCGGTCTGTTTGTCACATCTGAAAGGACAAAATGAGATACGCAGGGACTAAAGCAAGGTGTTAAGACTTTAAATGCAGCACCACAAAGTTCTGCTTAATTCATGAATACCCTCAATTTATCGTTTTCACAGACATTTTGCAGAAGAGTAAGTGAAAATTCTCCTGAACTTTACAAAGTCCCAGGAATAATTTTCATTAACTCAGCTTTTTTTTTTGTCTCTCTTTTTTTTTCTCTTGCTATTAGACTGCAACTTTTTTCTCCATGTATCTGTACTTAGCAAGTATCAAGTGCTTTGCTACTTATCAAGTATCTTTAGTACAAAAGCCTGTCCACCATCAAGTCTGACAAATCAAGCTGCAGTAGACTTAATAGATTTACTGGATACTTTTGTTGAGAATTGCACACCCAAAATTATACCCAACACCTACCTAAATTAGACCCTGAGCTTTCTTGAACTTTAAGCACTGAAGGGGAAAAATACTGCATGCAGTGGTGAAGGTAGGCGCACTCTACACAAGAATACAGTACCAAAAGCCAATCACAAAGGTGTTTTGGTTATTGGTCCCTTACAAAATGGCAGTTTACCAAACAACATTAACTTAATTCCCAGCACACAGGCGTATACAGAAGAAACATGAAAAAGTCACATTATAATAATAAACTTTCCTACTACATATTGAAATAATAGGTCATCACACTATTTCACAGGCACAAAACTCATGCCACCACAACAAAATACTTCTCAGACATGGACACTTTTCCAGACCAATACGTTTCACAAGCAGAACACACGTAGGTTTGGTTTCCTTTCAGTCCCACAAGAACAACTACTTGCTACAATCATCCTGCAAACCAACCAGTATTCTTCCCAACTGGGCTTCTTTTACAGTGTACCAGAGAGCTTCATCCATATGCTTCAAGGGCTTGTATTCGCAAAGTCTGCTGCAGAGGGCAGATCCTTTGTTTTCCATTCCCAACAGCACATGCCATAAATATGAGGCCCTGTCCTTAGAGAACTGTCAGAGAGGTATCTACCACACTGCCCACATGGAGCCCCAGACAGGGACAACATATCTTCCCAGAGTTAACACTTTCTGACCAAATTACTTCACACATGAGAAGCCTACGGCAAAAAGCCTAATTTAGTTAAAGACACTGATTTTTATCTTGGCTGATTTCAAGTTCCTTGGTTTTCCTGAAAAACATGACCACACAGTGTTCTCAGTCACCATTTTTAAAATTCATCTGTTTTTTTTCTTTATTTCTACAGTACTCAATGAGAGCCAGAGCATTTAGTGATAGCAAATTACTACCAATATTTAAGAGAATCAGTCTCTAGGAAAATACGCAGCTATCAGTATCTGACATAATAAATTAAGATACTACTATAAAGCAATAAGGTCTACCTAAAGCACCTGGATTCAAGCTCTAGGTCTTACTTTCCTTTTGTCTCTTTCAATAGCCTTTTGCATCAAAAGAAACCTTCACATTAAGTTCTCCAAATGTATTAAAAGGAGGAAGGGAGAGGATAGGTAATCATTTGCACACATACCTAAGAGAAAGTTAGAAATCCGGTTTATTTAAAACTGTGAAATCAAAGTACAGTAAATAAAATGCTTAACATCAATATTGGATACCATGTAGGAAAACTCTGGTAAGACTGGACTGTTCCCTTGGTGCCTTGAGCATGGATGAACCCTGAAATGACTTCTCAGCTCCCTAGAGCCACACTGTTACAGCTAGAATCTTTCGCCATTCATGGTAAGCCTTTCCCAGATGCACACTGCCAAATTTCTCCATGCTGGAGTTTCACCAATACCAGTAGAACTACCCCAAGGATGTCAGAGCTCACAGGACCAAGGCTGTTAAGAGTGAGAATGAGTGCCTACATTTCAGAACTTCTATGGAGCATCCCTCTTCCTCACTCAAAGGCCTCTGGACAGTTTAATAAACTGTGCTGTGGTCAAATATTTTTAATGAGCTATTACTAGACTGTAAGAACACACTGTTTCTTAATCACTGGTCAGTTTTTGGGGTGGGGCATGTGGATGATCCCATTAATGGTGTTTATGTTTGTTTAACCCTGCTATTAAATTACTACATTTTTCCAAACAGCAGATCCTCTCTAAGTAACCATATGTTACACACACATTAAAACTCTCTGAAGGAATTGATATGAAAATATTAGGATTATATCCAAAATATAATTCCAAACAGCTTATAGAACCTCAGGTGGAAACTCACCAAGTTCTGCTAAAAATGTCACACCTGCTCAGAAACAGCGCTAAAACCATTCTTCATCTGCTTTTAAAACTATTGCATTGGCCAAAGTATGCTGACTACTTTAAAAAATAGAAATAAGCTTGTGCGTATCACCCCTTCCTTGTAACAAACACTGGCACAAGTGAACTCTTTTATCTTCTTCTGAGAAAGAAGGGTGGGAAGAGGGGGATGCAAAGGAGGAAGAAAAAATAAGTCACCTTACAGGTTATTTATTATGTAATTGGCTGTTAATTAAGAATGGAGGAACTCTTTGACAAGCCAGATGAAAACAAGTATATCCAGAAAGAAAGGACAGTACTCAACAAGGCCACCAGTTCGTGCTTCAACTCAAGTGAACCTTCCCAACAGCTTATCTGTGCTCTGTAACAGGGATGTTCCTTCACATTGAAGATAACTCTGTTTCTGTTTTATACTGTTCTGATGCTCTCTATAGGCCAATAAAAAACAATCACTACATGAATATCACTGGTTCAGGTACTCAACAGCTTAAAGTCTTGATGCTACCAATTAATCCAGTTTCAGCCTGTACAATTTCTCATCCAAGGGACTTCAACCCAGGGATCTAATTTGCTGGGGAAGAGGCTCTGCTCAGTTCCTACCTCATAAAACAGCACTTTAAAATAAAAGTCAGATTTTTCACCAAATTTTGGTGATATTTGGATAGGGTCTCTACAGGTAAGTGATGTGCACAGAAGTCATATGCTCCATGTATCAAAGCAACCTGACACTCTCCAAAGCAGCTTTGCTTTTTGAAAACAAAAATAAAACAAATGCTGCTACCAAGCCTAGAACAATAGCTACTTAAACAACCAGGCTTCAACACCAACAAAAAGAGTAAACACTTCTGGTTAGCAAGATCTGTTTAACAGATAATAACCATTTTAAGTCAGTTCATTATAACACGTCAGTAGGCACCCGCAAGCCCCTCAATCCTCACGTTAATACTCAGTAGAAACTACAAGTCACTAGACTTAAATGGCACAGGTATTTTGACTGAGGCGGCAAAAAAAAAAAAAAAAAGCCATTGCTACCAGTGCATTGGGAATTTGAAGGGGCAATGAATGTAAAGGCCGCAATCACTTCTTCAGAATCAGGAGGACTTAAAAATACGAATAATCACATACATGTTTTTCACATAGTTTACCTCGGTATTTTAACCAACATTACACATTTTATTATTGAGAGAAGATGACAACATCGCAGAAGAATAAAATAAAATTTGTTTTTAACAGGACAAGTGTTTTACTTGGTGGTAGAAAAAGTGTAAGGGGAGCCTGAAGGGGAAGAAAGGGAAATGAAGTGGAACAAAATAAAAAAAAAATTCACAAAAAAAAAACTCAAAAAACAAACCCCACAATACTACTCCAGAAAAAGTAAAATGCTAAAACAAATTCCAGATGTGTACGTCTGAAGGTTTTAGCTTTTTCAAATACACAGCTACGTGTGCCTTTCACAATAACAGTCACAACTGAACGATACTTTTTGTACTACTGCACCCTTCAACAGGCCAGTCTGCAAGTTAAAACAAATAATATAATAAACTGCTAAACTGGTAAGTATGCAATTATGGATTGCTTTTAGCTGTTAAAAAAAGCTTGTTTATGTATCTAATGGTTCATCATTTAATGGTTCATCATTTAAAATCAAACTGTGATTAACAGTTTTTAGTTCAGACATACTGAAACCCAGCAGCACAGATGGCTGGAGATTTTTTATCGCCTTCAAGCATTTATTCCTCATTTTTCCAAAGAATGATGCAACATCAATTTTCCACGCATATAGCAGCAAGGAAAGTAATTCCACCTCTTTTTTAGAAGGATATGGCCTCTCGTGAAAGTAGTCTGACAAGAACTGTTTTTGCGCCTCATACGAATTGTGATCATACTGATTAGGATCTACCGCCAGAAAGCGAAGATCCTCACTAGAAGGAAGTTTCCTCATCTCAGTCCTAATCTTTTGTCGTTTGAAAGGCACTACCCCTGAAATCATGTCTTTCTCTGAAGACAGAGCTATGCCAGTGCTTAAGCTCAGAGGCTGCTGTTCCTTATTCTTTTGGTCTTCTGCAACAAAGCAGGAATCCGATTGCCTTCTTTTCAGTATCAGAGAAACATGCTTTTCACCATTCAGAAACAGCAGCTCTTCCCTCTCGGTACGCTCAAGCTGCATCTTCAGGCTTGAGTTGGTGTCTTTGTCTTTGGGAGCACTTCTACAACGGAGCAAATGTACAGCAATAGCTGTTAGAGTCATATTTCCAGTGTACACACCACAACAGTGGATGCACTTGAAAGCAGGAGACTTTAAAATTGTATGTACAGTTGGCATTATATGATGCCTCTCTTTCAAATGCTTTTCATAGGTTTCTTTACCAGCAAACGTACCTAAGCAAAAGGGACAGGTAAACATTTTTCTGGTGCATCTCCTATTCACTTCTGCTGTCTGAGGTTTCACTTTGATGTAAACAGGGACAAGAATCGTTGAATTTATTCCAACAAGAACTGCCAATTGTACTTCTCTTTCACCCATGTCTTCATTTGGTAACACTGTATTGAAATCAAAGTGTGGAAACACTAGGTCACCCTGAGCATCATTAACCAGTTGAAATCCTCTGTTGCTGTAATTTGCATGCAACTGTTTTCTCCCATTGTGTCTGCTTTTGTTGTGCTCCACGAGGCTTTTTAAGTCATAGAAAGTACCTGTGCAAAATAAGCAAGATAAGCCATGCATGAAGAGATGTTTCATGAGCTCTTCCTCACAGAGAAAACATTTACAGGCGTAGCACCGGATCGCCTTTTCTGTCATCCTTAGAAAGGGCGCGCAAGCTGCCAGTTTGTCAGGTTCCGGGATATCTATTCTCACTTCGCGTGGTTTGTGGGCCACCTCCATGTGCACCTCGTAGACATTTGATGGGAAAAGCTCATTGCAAACAGGGCAAGTCTTCCACTGCTTGGCCTGCCTGACAGCCTGGCTTGTTTCAGGACCAGGTGGGGAGGCCTGTAAGGACACGTTCTCAGAGGTCAGAACCACGGGAGGGGAGGGTGCGCTGGCCGGAGACTGGGACAGCTGAGCCACCGACCCAGACTGCATGAGCTGGATGGGCACCTGCGGGGGCGCAACAGTTGCTACTCCACCGCCGGCAGGAACAGGCAAAGTAACTGAAACTGGGGCCAGCGTGTACGTAGGTATACCATTAACCTGCTTTCCAGTGGGAATCAACTGCCTCAGTATAGAGCCTGCAGTCAGAAAAGTTGCGTTTTGAGAAACCGGAGGTTGAACTGGCTGATTTACTGGGATAACTGCTGGGGCAACAGGTTGGTTAAGCTGAAGAAAGCCAGGTCCAACGGGCTGTCTGACAGGAACCACACCAGAGGCAACAGGCTGGTTAAGCTGGAGAACACCGGACCCAACTGTCTGCGTCACAGGAAAGACCCTAGGATCAATGGGTCTATTCATGTTCCCAAGCGACTGGTTGACAGAGAGAACTCCTGGAGGAACTGGTTGATTCACTGGGAGGACTCCTGGTACAACCGGCTGATTCACAGGGCCGACAGGCTGAGTAATAGGTAGCGTTCCAGCTGGAACTGGACCATTTATAGTACCAATGCGCTGATTAACAGGAAAGAGTCCGGGCCTGACAGGCTGATTAAGAGGAAGAACTGCAGGGGCCACAGTTCTATTTATGGTCCCAACAGAATGATTAAGAGGGAGCCCGTGAGAAACAATGATAGGCTGGGAAGGAGACGGTTGAATACTAATGTTGTTCTGACCTACAGGAGGATTGCTGGGTACAAGAGCGACGTGCGACGGCGTAACGACGGGAGCGGACGTTGTATGTGGAAGGCTACCAGAGGCACTTGGAACAGTCAGTGGTCCAACTGGGTTTTGAACTGCGTTTGGCTGCACCACACTCTGGTTTTGATTATTCTGTGGAAATGAAAGCTGGATGCAAGCTGGAGCTGTGATGGAACCTGCTGGGACGACAGCAGGTTCCATTACAGCTGCAGATGGAGCAGCCACTGTCACACCTTGGAGAGGCTTTGGAGCAATAGACATTTTTTTCACTGTTCCAGGTTTCTTAATATGTTCTGAAATCAGAGACCGAAGTTTGTTCTCTAGGTCTCGGTGTGTATCAGCTGTCAAGACATGATACATTAAAGAATCTGGGCTGTTTGCAGAAGCATTACACTTTTTACAGTAGTACTCAAGTGAATTTGCTGTGCTGTCATCAGATTTCTCACCAAAATATATACTTATTAAATTTTTAAAATGGTTCATCAGCACGTGCTTCTTCATATTGTAATATAAGGTGTCTGTGAACTGACATTTTAGACACGTGAAATTTATGATGTCAGTCCTAAATTGTTTCATGCCATCCAAAATGCTAACTGTGTAGTTCTGTATTCTTTTATTAGATGAATGAAACATCCGGATGTGTTTTCCCACTACTTTGGGATGAGAAGCAAATGCACATTTTGGGCAAGAAACCACCATCTCTTGGTCCATTTCATCCTCATGGTAACGATGCAAGTGATTCCTGAATGAAGTAAGCAATTTTGATGAGAACTTGCATAAGCTACAGCAGTACGGCTTTGTTCTGTATCTCTGCAAAGAAAAGAAAAACAACCACTTAGAAACTGCCGGTTCCTACATTGCTGTTATCTGTTTAAAAATATGTCTGCACCATCACCTGTCAAAAATGCCTTCACTGGACATATAGCATGTATCTTCTCAGTTTCTTCTGGTTTTGAAAAGCAGATTTAAAGACGACATACTTAAAGGGAGAAATATCTGTGCCCTTTTTGCTTCATTATAATGTATTGAGAAGCCTTAAGTGAGTTCATTTCTACTCCAGTTCAAAAGAAGTAATTCTGAAGCCCGTTTCCAAAGACGGGAATCACAGAACAAGCTAAGAAGAATTTGTGTGCCACCACAGACAGGAGGAATTAGGAGTTAGCAATTAGGAACAGCAGGTCTTCTAATATAACACTTTTAAAGTTTTATTTAGCTAAGGGCCTGCTCCCATCTACGAGAGAAGAGAGAACAGGCAGGGTCCTTTTTCTGTATTTCAATAGCCTACTCTTCCCTGAAAACTCTCCAGAAGTACCTTCCCAGCAAAGCCACAAAAGAGTAATTTTTTAAGAACATTCTTTTGGAGCTAAAATAACAATAGAAAGGAATAAAACCCCCTTTTATGAAAAAACAGCAATGACCTCTTTGTATTGTCTCATACTGACTGGACATCCCATCAGAGTAATTTTTTTCAGAGATTTCCTCTAAAACACTCAGTACAGAGCACACAGATTCTTCTCAGGAAAGTATTTTAACTGTACAAGAATATAACTATCTTCCACCAAGCAGTGGTTTGGTCCCTCAGTTCTGTATCACGTGATAGCATGACTTTTTGTATCTGTGTGAACATTATTTCTGAAAAGCTAGTATCCCTGTCAACCATTTTTTCTGATCAATTTCCTAGGAAGTTAACTCTGGCTGCTGCCAAAAACTACAGAATCACAGCAACATCCATGTGACAAATGTGCCCCCTCAGACATCTAGTGGAATCTCTCTGTTCCCTCTACGTGTGTTTTTCACCTCATTGATTTCTGCCCCTTATGAATCCAAAGGGAACAATCTGTGCTGCTAGTACAGCATCCAGCCTAGTTAGATCCCCCACATCCATCTCACTGACACCTTATGAAAAACAGTAACAAAATATGTGCAGGGTTTGCTTTTTTTTGTCATTTCATATAGCCATGGAGGTTATAGTCAGTCATCTACAGATAACAGATAGCCATCTTCTAGCAGTACTAGCAGAATGATCTTATAATAACCAAAATCTAAGCTCCAAATGCAAGGGACTGGGTCAGATAATGCCACTGGCTGGCTAAGGTTGCTAAAGAAGTACACTGCTAAGGTATCACTGAATTATCTTCTATTTATACTCTTTAGGTGTCTAATCCCAGTTGCTAGTAAACAGCATCAGAGCAAATTAGAAGATGCATCAATCTTACTTTTAAGGTATATTGCCTGGAGAAAGGCCACTGACACTAGTGAACTAATGAAGCATACACAACATCATTAAAAGATGCACCTTACTTCTGAAGAAGTTAGGTGACAGAGCTGACTGCTTACGTTAATTGGCTCTCCAAGGCTTAGAAAACCTTATATGTTTTAAAATATTGGGCCCTTTGACTCTTCAACTCCATCCCCCACCCCATTTTTGGTTTGGGTCTTTTTGTCCTCATAAACTTGTACCATAGTGTCAGTGTTTCCTTCCTGCAAAGTCTGAACAGTTGCTGTTAGATGCAATGAGAACACTCTAGAGGTAAGTGGTCCAACTGCTGAATTAATTTGCTGTTCTGCAGTAATGACGTTCCAACAAGTATCAAACAGCCCAGTGCTTGCATGCTGATAAATCTAGGGAAATACCTTCCATGTCTTCTTAGATAATTTGGGTTTTTTTCATGGAGGTAAAAATTATGAGACTTCAGCAAAAGAACAAAAAGAGACACCTTAGAAATAATTTTGCCAGCATGTTCTCCTTGCATACTCATCTGATCTGCCTTTTATGTTCATAGGTGCTACTACAGTCCACCAGTCTATCCCAGTTTTATAGAAAATTTGACAAAATAAGAATTTTAAGCCCCCTTAGGAAAAACAAAGCATATTAGAGATTAACCAATACAATCCTCAACTGTACAAAATGGAATCCAAAAAAAGGCTTATTAGAGATATCGAGGAAAATTTGATTAGTCCTACTCCAAAGAACATACTCCAGCACACATAACACCTTCCGCTGTGTAGTCTCACATTCCCCACTACCTAGAGATATGCTGAAAGACAGGACAGCCTCCAAGACCTCAAGTTCTTCCAGAATTGTTAATGTCTCCCTAAAAACAGTACTAATGCTGGAAACCACCAACTTCGTTTAAATAAGTATCTTCTCCAGCCTACTGAATTTCCAGTGTAGCTCATACAACTTATTTTCCCCTTAGGAACAGAACATCCTGAAGGACCACTTCTGCTCTCTGAAATCTAGGCAGCACGGTATGTGAATGATATATATCAAAGAACCATGACTGTCTAAAGAAAAGGGATAGGAGCAATTTAGTAACCAAAAGACACTGCTTGGCAAATCTGCTCCACAGCAACATATTACCAGCTCTGCACCGAATTTCATCAGCTCAGATTCCAATCTTGTTTTGGACAGATACAGACACAGCTGGTCATGCTGACTAGTCTGAGTCAGGACACATATTGCTCCCTTCTGGTAAGGGATCAGGTCTCTCTGCCTTGTCTCCCTCCAGACAATAGGGATGAAAGAAAATTCCCTCTCTGGTGCACTTTCATTTTCACTGAAATCATTTTGCCTAAAGCACTGGTGAAGGAAGACAAGCTTCACTCGGTCCATCTTCATCCTATTCTTCCCTATTTCATGTCTGAGAAGGAAGGGGAACCTCCCTTGCTCATCTAACACAGATCTCCCAACACTGAACTTCTTTTTTTAGTCAGAAGGTAGAGGAAAAGGCAAAAGAGACAAAATCAGTGAGACCAGAGCTCAGATAACATGCTGGCTGGGGCCAGCAGACCTGATAACAGAAGATGTTTTTTCATGTGCATAAAGAAGAAACAAAAAATGAGGGGGAAAAAGAGAAACCATCATAGCAATTAACAAGATTTATTCCACTTACTTAAACTAAAGGTAGTCTTTACTGGAGGTAACTGTAAGCCTTATCTGAAGTGGCATTAAGAGGCTAGACACAATGTGTCCCTAGTCACACAAAACATCACATTTGACTCTTTTATCCACAAAGTCATGTGAACAGATCAACCTCCAGTCTTAAATGTGTGAACACAACTTCAGGAAGGGAGAAATAGGAGACAAAGCAGACAAGAGTCCTGGCAGGTGGAGGGGGTCACTTTCTACTTAATGACAGCTTGGCCAAGACTGAGTGGCTTTGTTTGCTCAGCCTGTGTGCCAGGGGCTGCAACTTCGAAGCCTTAGTTTGTTTTAAAGATGGTAAAGGCATATGTTTTAAAAGCTGTTTCACATACACAAATCTGACTGGAAATAGTTTTCCACTGCCACCAATGATAATTTCAGCTTAATCCACTTGCATCTATGTAATCTCATTTTCACCCTTGCAACGAAACAAGAGCCATATTGTACATAAGATCATGTTAATACTACACATCAAATTAGGCTAAAAAAGCAAAACATTAGTGTGACATCTTAAATACTGATGCTCAAGGTTGTCTCCTTAACAACAAATGACGCAGTCCTTATAACCAGAAGCATAACAGGGAAAAACACAGGGAAAAATAAGATTATTCCCTGACTAACAGCACTTAGAGAACAAACTTTAAAGCTAATTTTTTTACCATAAAAAAACCTGTATTCCAATTTCTGAAAAATTACAAAATTCAGCAACTCCACATACATGCCTGCCCAGAATTTCTAACACAAATTTTATACATACCTTCCTTTTGCCCCCAGGTTCCCAAGGAGAGACATCACTCCATGAAGTGTTATAAAAGTAGCTTTCACCTGCATCAAAACTTTGAAGATTCTAAAAGAAAAATGAAAACAAGAAACAATCTGCTTTTGCAGTCTGTTTTGAATATAAAGAAATCCTCAACAGAAAATAAGGAAAAGTAAAAAAAAGAAAACCCACATAAAGAAAGTATGACTCAGAAATCCCCACAGTGTTCAGATATAGGTCCCAAAACTCAGTTAAAAGAAATTACTTCTTTGACCACTCTTTGATTTATTTTACCTCAAATATTTGTTCATATGACTGGCTGGTAATATAGCAGGAATTCTGAACATTTCATAGTTACTGAAATAATATAGGGAGTGAAAATATTTACACTTTAATTCCACTGCTTCCAGCCAAGTTCACAGCGAATACTGAAAGATATTTTCCCCCCTCTACTTTCCTCCACCTACATCTGTAATATTTCACCGCTTACTTCCATTTTTTAACTTACCACTATGCCTTACTTCGCAACATTTTAAATCTTCACAGCATTGCTACGCTTTTTTGGAAAAACAAAAGAAGCTTGTTTCCAACAGCTGCAGTACTTTTCCTCAAGCTGTAAAAGCAACAATATTACCATGTCTGGAACACTTGTGTCAAGGTAAGCAACTTTCCTTACAGCTTTCCTCTAATCAATCCCACCAGAGCAGTTCAAGTTCCTCAAGCCAAAGCCAGCTACTACGCTAAAAATCCTGAAATTCATCTTCCGTTTTCTGCAGCCTGCACATATCCAAACACAAACCTGACTTTAAAAAACCAACCAAACAAACAAAAAAACCAAACCACACACACCAAACTATATTCGTGTTTCCTAGGCATTTCTGAAGACCCCAGGCTAGCTCCAACAACAGATAAGAGGGCCTTAGATGAACCACAGGCTACAAATCCAGGCTTTACCCATAGAAAACAAGCATCGTTTCACCCCTCACATTCTCCTTCCCTTTCACAGACCCCTCTTCACTCCAAACTCTGCAGATACCTAGAGAGAACCAGATGTTTTCATCTCTACACCACACATCACTGGAACAGCAGAAGCAGATAATAAATACCATTTAAGATCAGATCACCTTACAAGAGGAGTGGAATCCATAAACCTAATAGTTTGAGGTAAAAAAAACCACCACGCAGTATTTAAACGAAATTTAGCAACAACAGAGGATATACTGAACAACAAAGAGAAACAAAGCCTTTAGCAATCAATGAAATATAGAATCCTACTTCATGCAGGCTCTGTTTGCGCTAGGCTCCTGTTCTTGCAAATATGAGCATTCCTTTGTGTTTAACAAATTACAGCAAGCCAGAACATCATGCCAGTGATAATTTGATTTAAATTACATTATCCAAGAATTTAAATAAATGTAGCTGAGTTTGCAATAAGCTTTCTAGCTTCTTCAACAGTCAAGTCTGCCTGATGAGAACACAGAAAAGCTCGAGGCAACAATAAACAAATCCGTTTCCATCTAATCAACACCTAGACACTGAATGAGTAATCTATTTGCCCTTCAGCCAAAAATTCTTATAAAAAAACCAGAAACACCTCAGGAAGAACTCTTGCATGGAACAAGAGTAATCCTAGAACCTCAGAGAACTATGTTTGATAGAGAAAATGAAGAGACTTGAGATTTATTAAGAATTCTTCAGCCAAATATGCTGGAGCAAATTACGCACTGTTTTCTTAAAGTTTATGGCTTATCTAAAACATGTTCTACTTCTGGTTTGAGGCTCCTAGACTTAAACACCAGATTCCCACAAGCCAAATGCATGTAATAATACACATCCAGATACTTTTGCTGAAACAGCTATTTCTTACAGAAAAATATTTACTGATAAATGTAACCATTCTTATCAATACAATTAGTCAAAGGTGCAAATGTCTATTGTGAACACTTGGTTTAAACAGAGGTCTGCTAACTTGTTATGCCCTTCCCACATTTCTCAAGTCTCCCACAGGAGGGGAGGAAAACAGATGGGAAAGGTAACAAGAAGGGAATAAAAAACCCCAGAGAAACCTAACTAATCCTGATGTATAGTGGGTATTTTTACGTTAAAGAGAAAAACATTTTTAAACTAAGAACTGTTCTCCCTTCTGTATTAAAACCATCACTGTTTTCCAGAATAAAAAGATAAAGAGCTTATAGTTTAAATGAAGACATAGAATAGAATCACAGAATGGTTTGAGTTGGAAGGGACCTTACAGATCATCTAGTTCCAGTCCCCCTGCTACGGGCAGGATGTCACTCACTGCACCGGGTTGCTCAGGGCCCCATCCAACCTGGCCTTGAACATTGCCAGGGATGGGGATCCACAGCTTTTCTGGGCAACTTGTGCCAGTGCCTCACCACCCTCTAAGTAAAGAATTTCTTTCTAACACCTAATCTAAACCCGCCCTCTTTCAAATTAAACCATTGTTTCCCCTTTTCCTGTTCCATCCTTCTGATCATCATCTTGGTCCTAAAAATCACAATATGCTAGAGAAGCTAAAACAGTTTATTAAAGGAAAACCTCTGACTTTACAATGTACTTAAACATTCTACTTGGAGTATCAAACTAGTAATCTAGCACAAAAGGCCCATGTTTCCTTCTGAGCAGCTAAAAATTAATTTGGTCCTTAAGCTACAGAGAGATACTAGTCATATGTGAAACTCTGTCACCTTCCTCACAAACTACTGTCTATTATCATGCCTAATTAGAACAGTGTAAGACCAATTTTAAGACCAGATGGAAAGTCACATTTTATCATATCATTTCATACCATTTCCTAAATTGTCACAAGGAGCCCAAAACTCAATCTCAACATTTGAGAAAACAAACAAGCTTTAGATACTTCTCAATAAACGGTCTTTAAAGTCCCTTCAAACCCAGGCCATTCTATGATTCTATTCTAATAAGACCTCACACACTCTATATTACCAAAAAAAAATACCATCATCATATGAGCCAAGTACAAATCAAACCCTAGAAACCGTTCTTCCTACTGCTAAACTTGTACCAAAACCAGCCCCAGATAACCTGAGGAAAAAAAAATCCCTGAAATTATGAACTTGGTTGAGGGAGAATTATTTGCAAAAAACCCTAAGATGGAATTTTTTTGGCCCAAATCTCATTGCTTTTTCCAAAACGGAAATGTTTGCTGGGTTTCCCACCACCACCATTGATTAAAAATTAAGCAAACCCAACAAAACACACACTAATGCACGCTACACCACCCACCCCCCAAAACCAATCAAATACAAAACACCTTATTCCTCATTCACCAATAAAGTCCATACTGCAATCAAAGAGACTGCAAGCATTTTCATAGTAAAAACCTGGCATCATCAACACATTTCTACTTCAAACAGTCAAGACAGACTCAGGTTCTGAGTTAGAGGTTTGATGACAAAATAATACATAATACAATAAAAACTGTAAGTAAATGGAAATTACTAGACATTACAATTTTCCCTGAGTTATTATGACATTTAGATACATCCAACACTGTCCAACTGCAGTAACCAAGAATGTTCCAAAATAAGTTATGCATGTGCAATTTTTTTTCCAATCATTTGCTTATACAGTTTCAAAAAAAAGAAACACCACAAAGTCACAACAGCACGCTTACAGAGTAATTAAACCTACTTTAGTTCCATCATACAGAAGCAAACTCTTGACTGTGGTCAAGGTGGAGTCATGAATAAAGAGACAGAACAGACTGTGCACCAGCTCACTGAAATACACTACTGTTTAGTTGCATTACTGCATTTGCCCTTTTCCTGGTATTAGGCTTGCCAATCTCCTGGTGAGCATCCCTCCTGATTGTCGCACAGAGTTTTCTCCAGGAAGGGGCAGCAATGGTACTAGGTTCATCTTAATCGTCCCAGTACACTTGCATATACTTCTAAAGATGCAAAACCAAACTACAGCTCAGTAAAACAATTTTGGTATTTTTCCCTGGTCACAAAGTTTAAAGGTCTGCAACAAGATTACTGGGTTTAATTGCCAGGCCCTTTTCAGAAACGAGGACAATTTGTATCTCTTCAGAGGCTTGCCCTTGATACTTGATGTCTTTGAGTAGACTCAAGCCCTCATCTGCATGTGATTTTTAAAAAATTGAAAAAAAGCTGCTGCATAGAACATAAATAACAGTTCCTTAGTCTGTGGTGTTTTTCTTGAAGCTGTACTGTTCCTTCTGTTTAAACATTCCTACCAGAGAATATGCAGCACTATCTATAACACATCCTGTTGAGAAATACATTTTCTTTCAATGCTGCATACTAACACACGAAATTCCTCCCCTGGCATATGATCAGTCACTAATGAGTAATTCTTGAAGTAAAGACCCCTCCATAAAGATCTGTGGCAGAGGAACATCCTATATACACTAGAAAGTGAAATATTTTTCAACGGTTTACATTTCAGATTGGTTTACATTCTTTCAAATGCTTTACCTTCAGCAATTCCCTGCAGTTGTCAAGCCCAAGATCCACAAGAATGTCCTTCACCTTTCTTCGAGCCTTCCTGACATTATCAAGATTTTGAACAGGAATTTGAAACATTTTGCACTTTTCCTGGGGAAAAAAACCAACAACGCAAACACGAAAAAAAAGTGACAGAATAATTGAACACAGGCACTTGAATTTAACAGTCTTAAAACACAAACTAAAATCCAAACCAACATGGAATAGAATCATTTATGTCGGAAAAGACGTCTAAGATCATTGAGTCCCACCGTTAACCCAGCACTGCCAAGTCTACCATTAAACTATGTCCCTCATCACCACACCTACATGTCTTTTAAATACCTCAGGGATGGGGACTGAACCACTTCCCTGGGCAGCCCATTCCAGTGCTTGGAAACCCTTTCTGTGAAGAAGTTCTTCTGATTATCCAACCTAAACCTCCCCTGGTGCGAGCTGAAGCTATTTCCTCTTGTCTTATCTCTTGCTCCTTGGAAGAAGAGATTGATCCTCTCCTGTCTACAATCTCCTTTCAGGTAGCTGTAGAGAGCAATAAGGTCTCCCCTGAGCCTCCTTTTCTCCAGGCTGAACAACCCCAGCTCTATCAGCCACTCCTCACAGGACTTCTGCTCCAGAGCCTTCACCAACTTCATCGTCCTTCTCTGGGCATGCTACTGCACCTCAGTGTCTTTCTTATAGTGAGGGGCCCAAAACTGAACACAGAATTCGAGGTGTGGCCTTACCAGTGCCAAGTACAGAGGGACAGTCTGGTCCTCCTGGCCACACTATTTCTGATACAGAAATGGGATTCATTAATATTTCCCAGTAGATCACTTAAAGGAAAGAGAATCTGAATTTTTTAAAAACTCCAAGTTTTTCTTTCAGATCTCCTTTTATCTACATGGCAGAAATACTTGCTTTGTGAGAGTGTTGTAAAAGAACATGAACACCACAATTTTATTAAGTTCTGTTCAGAAAATTACTGTCATCTCACCAGGCAGGAGAAATTCAACACCTTTCACCTTGAATGTGAGCATCAAGATGAGAAGTCTTTGATAAGTTGTTTTGCTGTCGTGTATGTACATGCTTAAAATATGATTGCTAGCAAAACCTAGATTTCCTGCACAAGGTTGTAAAGTAATCAGGTATCCCCATGGGCTTAGATTTAGAAGTATGTGCCTTTGTCAATTGCGTCAACTGCTTCCTGGATGCCAGCAAAATGCAATTTAGACTGAGATTTAAGAAACTAAAACGGGCACAGAATACAAAAGAACTACCCTGCACTGAAAAAGGTCACTGGGAGTTTCTCAGGTATTTGGTTCTTAAATAGCTGGCAGATGATCCAGGAGCATTTACAACATCTTAGTCCTTATTTCTAAATAATTCATCCATCCAGGACAAGTCTGAACAAGAAAAAAAAAAAAAAAAAAAAAAGAAAATCCCCAAACAGCACTTCATCCCTGTCAAGTCTCAAATATCCTGAAAAGCTATACTTCACTACAAAAAGCAAGATCGTTGTTAACAGAAAATCTTTACCTCACATGACAAGATTTTCCTGTAAACGGCTGCAAAATCCCCTTGCACATAAGACACTAGTTACAAGCTAAGCCTCAATAACCCCCACACATGCAAACCCCACAAAAATTATGAAAAAGGTTTTTACTCTGTAAACTCCCCAAACCTTAATTTATGTATAAAACATAAAATTGAGGGGGTTTGTAATCAAAATTCAAACAACTCACATACTATTCTTCTCTTCTTCTCCCTCAAAAGGAAAGGCATGTAGAGAGAAGCGGAGAGGGAACCCCATTTGATGGACGCTTGTCTTGTTTTCTAATGTTTTCCATCAGCAAGAAGTCCAGAAGACATTCTGATACCATTGGGGTGGGTGTAGAACGGGACCCTATAAATAATGGAATAAATCAGAGTAACTGATCTGGCATTCTAATTAAGTCCAAGGAGTAAAAATAGGACACAAAATCATCTTTAAAGTGAAGTCCACTGAGAATTTGCATAGTCTCTGGTCAAAGCTTTATGATCAGTCCCTCTGTGATAGAAGGTTAAGGCACATCAACCCCGTGGTCCGCTGCAGGTAACAAAAGAGCTGGCTGGACTTCACCATGCTCAGATCAGCCAGAAGATGTGGTTCAGTAAATTGGGCACCACAGGAAACCATTCCTCCATCTCAGTCCTTCAACTGATGCTACTGAAGAAGGTGAAGCAAACTTTTCTTGAGGCATGTCTAGCTCATAGAACAAAACCACTAGTCTACAAAGACCATGTAGTACACAACATCCATGTAACTCAAGTTTTCTTAACCAGTAATCTTTCTGAGATGGAAACTATTAATCCAGAAGAAAGAAAGAAAAACACACACACACCAAAAAAGAAACCTGATACAAATTAGTTATTTTCCAGTTTTCAAGTAGTTGGTCTTCAATCCAAAGGCCACCATGTGCAATCACGTGCAAGGTTATTCAGTTGGTATTTAAACAACCTGCTTGGGAGTAGGGCCCTTAAGTTACTCATCTAACACCGGAATCACAGAATGGTTTGGGTTGGAAGTGACCTTAAAAATCATCCAGTTCCAATCCTCTGCCATGGTCAGGGATACCTTCCACTAGACCAGGCTGCTCAAAGCCCCATCCAGCCTGGCCTTGAACGCTGCCAGGGATGGGGCATCCACAGCTTCTCCGGACAGCCTGCTCCAGTAGCTCACCACCTTCGCAGTTAAGAATTTCTTCCTAATATCTAATCTAAAATCTACCCTCTTAGGATTCCTTCTATCCATTAGACCATCAATGCCCCATCACAAAGGTCACAAAATCTCAACCTTCTAAGCTTATTCCCTCAAGCCCTCATTTTAATTCCCTGATTACTATGCAGTTTATTATCCATAATCTTTTACTACTAATTTGCTTTTCTTATATTTTGGATATTTTTCATGCCTTAAGTTGCATTTTGGTTCCATGAATAACTACCATTTGTTGGTACACATCCCATTCTTAGCCAGCAAATTCAACATGAAAGAACTACAGTAAAACTAAACCAGAGTTACTCTAGCCCGAGTCTTAATCCTTCTACTGTACTGCCTACTGAGAAGATAAATTTATCCTTAACTACTTTTAACTGTTGTTCCCAAATAAACTGATAACCCATTTAGTTTTCACAGTCAGTACCATTTCATAAACAGAACCAAGACAAGTTAGTAGCATAATAAAAGAATTAATTTTAGCAGTTGGTGTCTCAAATCCAGTTGTAAAAAATCTGTTCAACTCTTGCTCAGGCCTTTTACACATCAATCTATTCTGTATTTGCTGCTTCTTAGGAGAAGACCTCCATAATGATGCAACAAACGGAAGTTTTATGCAACTCTACAGGTTCCATTCATTTCTACAACATTTGTTACCACAAACTGTAACATCTAAATACATTCAGCTTTTCAGCAAAGATCGCAAATACAACTCTTTCCTTCCAGTAGTACTGCAGTATTTTAAGGCTAGCCTAAACAACAAGGTAACAGAATCTCTGTAGTCAGTCACTAGTCTGCCAAGTGCCATCTTCTGTTATTTCTCCTCATTAACAAAAAAAAGCAAAAATACTAGCATTTCACCTCTTCAAAGTGAGAAGTCGCCACAAAGTGGAAAGTTCCTATTTCTCCTACTCCTTAGAACAATACTCACTCACCTTGGAAAGGACCTCAAAAGGATATCCAGTCCAGCCTCCTGTAAGCAGGCTCAGCCATCAGCTGTAATCAGAGCACTCCATTTTGGCCAGTCAGGTCCTGAAAAACCTCCAGACAGAGGTTTGACAGCCTCTCTGGCAACCTCTCCCAGTGACAGCCTGTGCTCAGGCTGTGAGAGCTTTTTTCCTTACATCAAATCAGCACCACTTTTGTTTGTGTTCCTACGGAAAGCAGGCATTTGCAAGCAAATTAAATACAGACTTGGTATGGGTTGGAGTAAGGAAAATGCACAAATATGCCCTCAGTGTGCAAGCAAAAACTTCCAGCAACAACCAGTAAACTAGATAATCGGGCATTTCTAGAGTATTCAGGAAAAGAGGTAGCTACAAAGAAACCCTGTAAAGAAGACCCACAAGAAGGTGGCTGCAACAGAACCTTTTTTAGACACCAGATAATCCACACTGAAGCCAGATCTCCAGATGTGTTCCTAGGAAGCTGGGTTTCACTAGTCCGTTGCTCACAGAGTTGCTTATAGTAGGGAAATTATGAAAGGCTTATGGTATTTTGTCCTTTCATATTATCTGCCTTGGACATTGAATCATTCTTAGTTTTTATACGTTTTATCTAGTAACTGTCACTAGTAACTGCGAAAGAGATTTTTAAAAAGACTTTGGTCTTTATAAAGGCTTACAGGTTTTGGGACATTTGGGTGGGAATATTTATAAAGGTTTGTTTATCACCTTGTATTTCAGCAGTAATCAGAATTGACAAGCACCAATAAAGAATTATTTTCATTTCAGTAAAGTCATTAGAAGTTGATAGTATTAGTTGAGAAAACAGTAAAAACTACTTTACTCCTGAAAATTAAATGAGAGCACGTGATCTACTATTTCTAAGGATCTAAAGCATAGGAGCACTTGGTAGCAAAGAGAGCAGACAGGAGGACATTGAGAAACTGCCTAGAATAATGTGAGTTCAGCTTGGCCATGTGGAGTTTTACTTTCATCAATTTTGTTTTGTTTCTGATAAGCTTACAAGTCCTACAAGAGGTCACACCTGGGTATCTGCTTGACCACATATTACATGGTGGGTTCCACTTCCTGGACTCTTATCTGTGCCTTCTGAGAGAGACCAAACCGGATTTACGAGTATGGCGGCACCATCAAAGCTTATCCAGCCTATGGAGGGAGAGGGAAGAAATGCTTATAGCTTCCTAGCAACTTCTCTAGGTGTTTTAATAGCTTTGGGAGACATGATGCCTGGAAAGAAAAACAGTCAATTTATTAGGACAGATACTGTCCTTGTTTATTATTGTAAATTAAAATATATCTTTTTAAAAAATAACATGAGCAGTTCTGGTCAATAACATAATTCCTCTTTATCATCTTAAATTCCAATTTCTATCCAAGTGCAATGCGATAGAACTCTCAGGCTAAAAATATTGAACTTTTCTTTGTGCAACTAAAGAAGAAACCTTTGGGGGTCTGGAATCATAGAACTCTTTTTAAAGTCACAATAATTTTGCTGTTCTCATGGTTATAAATCACATACCCGCTGAAAAGGTCACCTAGCCCAACACAAAGACAGCCATCATTCAACAGTTGCTTACACAAGGAAGAGCAATAAGCCATGTGATTACAAAGATAAAGATACGGCACACCAACCTGCATCTTGCCTAACAAGTCAAATCAAAATGAGTTTAGATCCCTAATGTTACCTGCCGCGGTTTAAATAACTATTGTGATGGTTCATTAACACACGATCAAATCCCTGTTATCCAAGACAAGTCAGAAGAAGGGACAATACCATTCAAACACATGGAGCCTTCCTAAAGCATTAACTCACACAACACTTTGACTTACTTGCAAGTCCCTTCTGCGCACTAGCCAGAACTTTAACCCAGCAGGATCCAAGTGCATCCAAGGTGACCTGAGCATGTGCATGGAGCCTACTCAAATCCTGCAAGACTCATCAGACCCATGTGCATGAGAGCAGAAGAGTCACACACCAAGCCCAGCTACTCTAGGAGGAAGTACAACTGCGTTTGTACTGCAATAGTCAGTTTGGTATGACCCAAAGACTTCGCACTTCACAAATGCCCAGGACAGTCCATAGCACAGATAATACAAAACCTTAATGATTCAGCAGCGGGACAAGAAGTGAAAAAAAACCAAGGCTGTGCAACAGGTTTCAGCAGAGGAACTGAAGTGTTCAAACACAAGCCAGTTCTGCCAGTGTTCAGTAGGATTTAACCCAAATCAAGGAGCTCCCAATGGAAAAACATAAGGTATTACAAAACTCTGTGGGCTCTTCCTTGTTTCTGAAGATATATTTGAATTTGCTATAATTTGGGGGGGTGGGTGGGGGGGGGTTGTTGTTTTCTCACAAAACTTTCATGAAACGAATCATAGAAATTAAAGGTCTTCTTACAGTTTATAATATACCTTATTTTTTACCCACAGATATTGTGCTAAAGAAATGCCCTTTTCCTGATCTAAATTTAACAGAAAGTTTATTAAAAGCAGCACTAGGATTTCTAGATTATAGAGTACATATCCCAAGAGTGAGTCTTTACAAGCACTTCATTTTAAGTCTTTACAGTTTTTAGGGGATCAAACACTTATTTTTGACAACAGAAAACTGTTAAGAACAACCACCAATTCCTCCCCAACAATGTACATGTCAGAACTTTATCAGCTGTGAGTTGTTCGTAATTCTGACCCTACAGAACAATGAACCGCTGCAGCAGGAGTCAAGTGCGTGCCTTTGACTTTGTTTACAAACCAGGACAATTGAAACTCCCCATTACCTGCCCTCGAGCACAAGGCAAGCACATCTAAATGGTTTTCATGGTTTGCATTATGCGGGCTATGTTTGTATACATTATTCATGAACTTTTTCTTTGTTTTTAAATGCACGAATTGCTGAGGTACCACAAGGATGGTCAACGTAATTTCGCATCCCGCTGCCTTCTGCCATTAAACGATCCCATTAACTGATGGTGAAGTGCTGATTCCGCACGCATGCCCTTCCCACCATCCAAGCTAACACTTCTGCTACAAACTGCTTCAAATTACAACAATCCACTAGAAGTAATTAAAACTACTCGTCCACAGCCTTCGAGACAACCTATTCAGCCCGTTCCTCACACACACCCTATCGCTGAAGTGCGGGCTGGAATTAGCAAACAAAAAGCGAAGCAGCCGCTCACGGCGAGGCACCGGGGAGGCCACATCGCCTCCCTCGATGGCCGATGGGGCCACTCCACACCACGGCGGGGGCTGCGGGGCAGGGAAAGTGACCGTCCGGTCTCGTCGCTGCGGGCGAAGCCGCTCCGCGTTCGCAGCTCCCGCCGCGCCGAGAGGGCGCAGCCCCCGGGCGCTCCCCGCCTTCCGCCCCGCCCCGCCGCGCCCGCCGCACGTACCCGGCCGGGCTGCAGGGGGAGCCCCCGCCGCTCCTCCTCCCGAGCTGTGCTCCTGCTCCTCCTCCTCCTGCTGCTGCTCGCCTCCCGCCGCGCCGCCGTCCCGCACGGCCGCCGCCCGCTGCTCAGGGCTGCGGCTCTGCCCCCGGCCCTGCCCCCGGCTCTGCCCGTGCCGCCGCGCCCCCGCCCGCCGCGCCGCGCCCGCCGCCCCGCCCCGCGGCCCCGCCTCCTCCGCCGCCGCCGCCCGCCGCGCTCACCGCACGCCCCGCCAGGGCGGCGGCACCGCCGGAGCCCCGCTCGGCGCTCCGCTCAGCGCCCGCCCCCCGCGCCTCCGCCCGCGCCGCATCGGCCGCCAGAAAGAGAAAATGGCGCTCGATTTGTCCCAGGAAGTGACGTCGGGGCTCATTTGCATGCCAGGGGGACAGCCAATGGGAAGAGACTGGGGCAGCGCTCCCATTGGCTGCCCGGAGGAGCTGGGCGCGGCCGTGGGCGGGGCCTCTTGAGGGGGCGGGCCCCGCGTGCAGCGCTCACCTGCGTCCGCAAGGGGCAGCACTGAGCGCTCTCGCGAGATCCGTGACGTCAGCATGGAGTGGGAGGGGCCTGCTGACCCCGTGCCCAGCACACGAGGCCGCCACGTGCGGGTCCATTCCCGCTGCCCCGCTTCCAGGGAGTGATGGGCGAAGCCTGGATCGCATCTGCTGGAGGCCCCTCCCAGCCATCCCAGCCCACGGGGCGAGGCGATGCCTGGCTGCCAGGCTCCCCATTGGCGGAGGCTCCTGCAGGGCGTGGCTCATTGATCAGCTAATGTAGTTCTTACTCCTTCCTTGATGGCAGATGGTTTTTTGGTCAACACGAGATGGAAACTGGGCCTCTCAATTTAGGAAGGATGTTGAGGTACTGGAACGTGTCCAAAGGACGACAAGGCTGGTTGCTGGAACACAAGTCCTATGAGGAGAGGCTGAGGGAGCTGGGGTTGTTCAGCCTGGAGAAGTGAAGGCTCAGGGGAGACTTCACTTTCTACAACTCCTTGAAAGGAGGTTTTAGCCACCTGTGGGTCGGTCTCTTCTCCCAGGCAACCAGCAGTAGGACAAGAGGACACAGTCTTAAGCTATGCCAGGGGAGGTTTAGGTTGGACATTAGGAGGAAGTTCTTTACAGAGAGAGTGATTGAACATTGGAATGGGCTGCCCAGGCAGGTGGCACAGTCACCGTTCCTGGAGGTATTTAAGAAGAGACTGGGTGTGGCACTGAGTGCCGTGGTCTGGTTGACAAGGTGGTGTTAGGTCAGAGGTTGGACTTGATGATCTCAGAGGTCTTTTCCAACCTGGTTGATTCTGTGATTCTGTGAAACAGAACCAATCCCCTGTGCTGGTGGGTAACAGCTGTACCACAGGGACCAAGACAACCAGCCAAGACAAAGTCAGCAGCGTGGCTCTCCAACCCCGATGCACCTGGTGTGGCTCTTTGGTTGGAACAGGCAGGTCATGGCAGGACGCGCACTGCCATGGAGGCGCATATGGCCATGCTGGATCCCATTCTTGGCACACCGGGACCTTCTCCCTGCCTCTCTACCATCTTTCTGGGACACCTTTCAATCTTCCACCTCCCCACAAGGTTGTCCTGGCTTTGCTCAGGCCGCTTCCAAAGGGCTCACAAACTAATTACTTCAGCTAGAGTTTCCCTGAGTGTTGCCATGGGCCTTGGCAACCATAAAATTTTGCTGTTTGTCTACACACAGCTCATGTGCAGGTCAATGTGTTGGGCAACTCATTTCCAGCCTGTGAAGGCTTCAGCAGCAGACTGGTACCTTCTCAAAAAGCATTACAAATAAAATATTGACATTGACAGAAAAGTGTTTTGGGTTTTTTTTTACAGTAGTGGCCACAAGATTTGTTAACCTTTGTAGTCAACAGTCCAATAAGTACATTGAAACATGATTAGTTCTAAGGGTTTTTTCTGTTATTAAACTTTTATATGATATAAATTCATTAGCTATGTACTTGCAGCACCAGTGTGTATGCAGTAAGGTTGTAGGTAAAAACATTTATGGAGGAAAGGGGCAGCCATCTATGAAAGATAAATTATCCATGGTAAATACAGGACCACAATATAAAAAATTGTTCTTACACAGTGCAAGAAGGGATACGTCCAGTTAGTTAAAATGCAGCATTTAAAATAAAGATATTAACTGCTGTCTAATAATTCATAAAGTAACAAAATGGAAATGCCCAATGGCTCCCACACAGTCAACAACATTAGACTTCTGTTGCAACAAACCCAGTAATTGCAGAGTGTTTCTAATAACGGATAAGTTAAAGAGATTAAGCAAAAGGTTAAGAGAAAACATTCATGAAAGAGTCTTTCATGGCTGAACATTCCAGCAAAACTGTGGAATATGTCCTCATTTTCACAGAACCCCAGAATGGCTGAGGTGGGAACAGACCTCAGGAGGCCATCTGGTCCAACACGGCATTCTCAAGCAGGATCACCTAGAGCCGATTGCCCAGAGTATGCCCAGACATTTTCTGTCGGGTAGTAAGAATGGGAGCTACTTTATAAAGGGGGTGAATTAGATGTACACACATAGTAACTTTAGTTGTAATTCTGTTACAGCTGCCAAATCCTGCAGTATGCTCAGCAAACTCAGGGCCTATTTAAACAGGGTGGAGTTGGTGCTCATTCACTTGGGAAAGCAGGTTACATTTTCACATTGCAGGACTGGCATCAAAGTGTACACCTTGGAAGCAGGTCCACTAGCCTCCAAAGCCTAAGATTTTCCAAAGTGAAACCTGAGACTAGACTTCAAATTCCTCCTCTTGTTTAAAAAAAAAAAAAAAAAAAAAAAAAACCAAAAAAAAAAAACAACAAAAAAACACCACACAACAAAAAAAAACCACACAAAAAAACCAACAACAACAACAACAAAAACCAAACAAACAAAAAAAAAACCACCCAAACAAACAACAACAAAAACTCCAACAGGATTTTTCCTATAAGTCAAAAGCAATTTCATAATAGAAAAATAAGTGGACTTGAGGACAACAGAGTGAGGAGAAAAGCAGTCGGATACACACAACGTTAAGAAGAGTAAAAAGTAAATATATCAGTTTTTCTTAGATAAAAGTAATAGCTTTGTTCAACCAAATCCAATGGGATGAGTCATTTGCTTTGGAAATGTATTTGAAGATGAGTATTACTCCAGCTAGGAGACATTAAGAAATTTGGTGATTATGTTTCAAGTACATGTAACTTTGCTGCCACCTGGGAGCTAGATGTCTGTTTTGATACTTCAACAAGTAGCATTTAACAAAAACAAGTAATATTTTTCCTTATACTATGGGGTAGTTCAGATCTGGAGAGAGCAACAACTGCAAGAGGGCGCTTTGGCAGCTCACAGTGACTGGTGAGGACCTTAGCCCTCTGTTCTCCTTCCTGTGGGTGAAACTCACAACTTCAGCGCTTTCCATTAGCTCTCTCCAAGCAGAACAGCAGGAGCAAAGAGCATCTGTCTGCAAGTGTACAGCCAACACCTGGGTGGGCAGAAGGGACTTCTCAGAGTTTGCAGAAAAGTCAGGAGAACTAACTTCTATAGCTGGCTTCCAGGTCCTGGAGTAAGGTCCCAAACCAGTACTGACCCAGACAACTCTTCTGATAAAATGCAAGAGGATGGAGGGAAGCTCTGTTTTTCTAAAGGATATGCAGCCACTACCTTTTTTCTACAACTCTTCAGTACATTTTCTACATCAGCTTATATTAATGTAATATCATCAAGCTTTCCCTTGCTTTTGAAGAACAGGCTGCAGCACATACCAGTCTCAGTGATCCTCTTTAAAACTGCCTGACGAATACGTTCATTGGCCTATACTAGATGTTTGAAGATTAATGTAATCGCTTTACAAAATCTTTTCCCAAATCACAGATGTTACAAGGTC